GAGGAGGCAGGAAGATTGTAAGAGCCAGAGGTTGGATGACCACAGGTAAACAGTCTTTGAGACAGTGGGTCAGTTATTCATATGAACTTACAGCAGTACCAACAGCATGCACAAGTCCTATGCAAGCTCAAACCAGACAAAATCCCAGCATAAACATGGGAAAGTGGGTAAGATATCCCAACCCAACCTAAGGAAATTTCAGTAATTAATGGCTCCTGGGAGAGAGAGAGACAGTATCTTACAGGGATAGGATTTTTGGGCCTAGTCGATGGGCCCACACTGAAAGACATTTGCGGACACAAATCAGACTCTCAAGGCCGTGTTGTACATTTCAGTGAGTATGTTACATTGGGCAGGAGCGTAGTGGGGGGAGGTACAGAGAGGGATGGGGATCTAAATACATCAAACCATATTGTTTGGAAATCACAAAAATTCAAAAAAACTATTAAAAAAATACATATATAAATAATAGGACTAGGGATGTAACTCAGTTGCTATAGTGCTTGCCTAGCACACAAAAAGCCCTAGATTATATCCCTTGCACCTAATGAAACTAAGCATAGTAGAGTATGTCTGTAATTCCAGTACTCAGGGGGTAGAGGCAGGAAGTTCAGAAGTTTAAGGTCATCTTTGGCTATATTATAATGAATTCAAGGCTGGCCTGGGCTACGTGTTTTGTTTTTTTTTTTAATTTTAGTTTTTTAAAAATTCTCTTTTAAATTACATTATTATTTAAGTGCACACGCGCACACACACGGGCACACACACAGACCCAGTTGCACTGTTATATTAAAAAAAAAAAAAATGGGGCCAGCGAAATGCTCAGTGGTTAAAGGTGTTTGCTGCCAAATCTGATGAGCTAAGTTTGATCACTGCAACCCACATAGTGGAAGGAGAGAACCAACTTCTGCAAGATGTTCTCTAGCCTTCATATGCATGCTGTCTCATGTATATAGTGCTATGTACCCGTGTGTGTATTAATTAATTAATGTAATTCAAAGGGGAAATTTTTTAAAAATTAAAAAAATTGAAGTTTGAGCAGCTTTTTAGGAAAGATAATGAGTAGCATTATGCCATGGTGTAGAAATGAATAAATTCAGTTTATAATATAGCTGAGTTTGAGGTACTCAGTATTAATGATACCTGAGGCTTAACAGGTATGCTGCACTAAAGGCGCAGATTTGGGAGTTGGCTGGATGTGGGTCTTACCAGAAATATGGGGATAGGTGAACTGGCATCGGAATAGCATAGACCACTACGGTGCCTAAAGATACAACCCTATAGAATGCAGGCATTTGACAACCAAGTGTAGGAAATGGATACAGCAGAGGAGACTGAGGACAAATAATCAGAAATACAGGAAAGAGAAGAAAGCCTTATATCACAGAGTATGAAAATTCTAGAAGTGAAAAGTAAGTGGAGCCAGTGAGATGGTTCACCAGGTAAAGTTTCTTGCTTCCAAGCCTTGACACCTTGAGTTCGATTCCCAGAACCCACATAGTGGAAGGAGAAAATTGACTTCATAAATTGTCCTTTGATCTCTACGTTTGAACCATGTTGTGTCCACCCATATATGTACACACTCTAAATAAATGATTTTTTGTTTTTAAAAAAAAATTTTTTTTAATTTTATGTTTATACATGTATTGCCTGCATGTAGATAAGTGCACCCGTGTTGTGCAATGCCCCTGGAGGACAGAAGACGCTGTCGGATCCCCTGCAACTGGAGTTGCAGACAGTTATTAGCTACTATGTGAGTGCTGGGATTTGAACCTGGGTCTTCTGGAAGAACAACCAGTGTTCTTAACCACTGAGCCATCTCTCCAGCCCCTAAATAAATGTTTTTTAAAAAATAAGCCGGGCATGGTGGCACACAGCGTTAATCCCAGCACTCAGAAGAGAGAGGCAGGCGGATCTCTGTGAGTTCAAGGCAAGCCTGATCTACATAGTGAGTTCCAGGACAGCTGGGGCTACAGTGAGACCCTGTCTCAAAAGACCAAAATAATAA